ACAATAAATAGCGCGCGCGAGTAAATAAGAAACTTTAACGCCCAAAGAGCGAGAGACAGAGAGAATGGAATGGAAATCCTTTATACGCGGTGTGTGCGCGCAAAGCGAAAAAAGAGAAAAATAGATATAACGCAAAGCGCGGTGCAGGGTAAATAAAATATATAGATAGATATAGAGACCGAAACGAGCGGTGGTGTGTGTCTGTTAGTACACATATAGAATGCGATATAGATAGCGAGGCGAATGTTTTTGTTTAACGATGTTTCTATATGAGTGCTACGTCAATCATTCATACGTACAACCAGCCGCGTATGCATCGATTCTAGGAGCCTAGACTAGAGAATATTACTTAAAGTACTTTTTTCTGTCTCTCTCTTTCTTCGACAATGGCTTCTAGCTGCTCTCCTACTACTACTACGTTTTAGCTTCAATTGAACGATTTATGAAGCAAACTGCCAATATAATAAATAAAAAGAAGGCAGAAGCGGCACGTGTATATGTATATAGAGATATGCTGCTAACTCGCTCACGCGCGCGCGTTTGTTAACTTAAAGAGCGGATGCAGTGGCCTTTGAACGAGCAATTCACGAGGCTTCTTTCATCTAACGCTATGTTGCTGCTGTTGCTGCTCTGTATTATATCCAGTGCCTCGGCTCTGTCTTAAAACGATTTTCTCCAATTAAAATCTATCTTTTCGCTCTCTTTCGTCTGCGCGTTGCAATTCGATACGTATATCCGATCCAACGGCGAAAAAAAATGAGGAGAGTAGAGAAATTGTCTTATCGCAGCTCTAGATTTATAAGTAACATACCGTCTTTTTCTAATGTATATTTTCATCGTCAAATTTGAATCCCATTTTCACCTCTCTTTGCGACGAGGCCGATTTATTTCTCTCTCTCTCTCTCTCTCTCGTACTTCAATTTCTACACTTCTCCTTCTAGCGAGCTTCTTCCTCCTCCATCTTCTTTTTTTTACCTCTGGCCTTATATAATATATCTCTCTTTCGCTCGTTGTGCACGCGGCTGGTACATGCGAATCAGCATTCATGCACTGCGCCCGAATGAATTATCCTCTCGTCATTATACATCCGAATTCTTACATGGTTTGATAATTTCGAGGGAATGTGCGTGTGCCAGAGATTTGCACAATTTTTAACCAGTTTTTCAGCCCCTAACATAATGAAGCTTAATACATCGTACTATAAAGTGTACTTCCGTCCAAAAAGCAGTTGTGGTGCGCATACGTATACGTAGATACGTCTGTCGAGCGATAAACGTAATTGTATTATATATATAAAGCAGCTGTGCGCGTATATGTATAGACGCGCGGGAATCGGCGGTGCAAGAATGCAAATAATTGTTCGGTGTAAGCCTGAGGAATGTAAGTAGACTCCCTCGCTTCCCTTCCTCGTTTATACCTATCCTCCTCCTCCTCTTCTTACTCTTCGTTTTTTTCCTGCAACCTTGCGAATGCGGGACGAGGCGAAAATTGCATTGGAAATGGTAAAATGCATTTTAAAACCCTCTCTCTCCCCCCTCCACTCCTCTACCGATGGATGATCTATGCGTGTATACACACGTATATATAAACAGCTGCGCGCCTCGCGAAGAAAAGCTCTCGCAGCACGCGTTGGAAATTGCACAAATGGAATTTCATCCTTATGTCTGTTCTTGCAAAATACCTGCAAGGGGGGTGGGCTGCAGCGCAGGCAGTGTACGTATTATACACGCGCCCGTGTAAAAGGTTTTTCGAGTTCAAGAGGCCGCGCGCGCGCCCGAGTGAATGTTTATTATTGCTTCTTTCTCTTTTCCTTCCTACTATACCTACCTACCTACCTTACTTTTTTTCTTCTCTTATTAATGCCGAACGTACTACACCGCCAGTTTTAAATAGTCTTCCTTCTTTTTTCCTTTTCGCGCGCGAGCAAGAGAGCGCTTTAATAGGGAATCTTTTGCCTGAGAGATTTTTTTCTTTATCGGCCGGCTGGTTAATTAAATTTTTATGATTATCCGAGCAGTATATATATCCCCAGCCGGAAAATAGCAAAATAAATTTCTCATTAACGTTTTACAACATTTACATATTATTATTTTCTTTAATACGTATCGACGATTCGGATATTTCCGAAATCGATAATTCACATATTTCAAACCCCATTGCTGCTGCCCTCCACACATTGCTGCCTTCAAAGGGACGACGCGAGACTACTCTACTGCAAAGATTTCGACGCGTGTATAATCAAACCTATCTGGAGAGCGTCGTGTATTCCACACACAAAAAAGCACGTGTCCGAGAGCAAAAAGTCCCTCCCCATTTCCGTACGACCGACCCCATATCTCTCTCTTGAGTAGAAAAAAAATCAAGTCGAATTTATTTCACGATATTGAAAAGCCACCTTAATATGATTCAAGGCAGAAGAAGTTGGACAGTCGTCGCACACGTTCGTAAATATATTTAGATTTTTTTCAAAAAAAAAAAAAATTCGAACTCAACGCGCGCCAAGGCGTGTCTGTTCCCCCCTATAAAATTCTTTTGTCGCGGCTATTGAGATTTGAATGCGCACACAATCTTACTTGAATATTTCAAATTATAGCTGCGGGTAGAAGTAAAATATTTCCACAAGTTGGGATTAGGATTTTCAGATTTCTCGCTCGAAGCGAAGAAAGGAAATGAACTTTTCAGAAAATTTCTCTCTCTTTTTTTCCATTCCTCTCTATATAAGGTTATTATTTTCGAATGAATTATTTGAATCAGAAGGACGTAGAAAAAGAAGAGGAGAGAGAGGAAAGGGTGAAGGTATAAGAGGGGGAGGGGGAGGGATTTAAAGTACTAAAGAAGAGGGTTAGAGTTTGCGCAGGTGCAGTTTGCGAATAAAAAAAAAGAAGTGAGAAAATGAAAGGGTATTATAAATTTATGAGCCTTATAAAGTTGAAATAGGAGAAAGTTTGCTATTTATGCTCTTTATTAAATCAGCTGATGCTTTTTTAAAGACACACATAGTATAAGCCGCGATACACACAGCCAGTTCGTGTATGTATGGTCGCTCGCGTTTAGTTCATATTAACTAGGCATAATCTCCGAGGCAGGATCTTATTTCTTGATTGACCAATTAAAATTCTTTGGCGTTTTATCCGTGAGCCGCAGCAGCGGCCTCGACGTTACACAGAAAAATATCAACCCTCTCTCGCAGCTCTCTCTCTCTCTCTCTCTCTCTCTCGTAGCTCGCTATAGCGAGAAAATTTTACGTTACTGACCTTAATGGTCAGTCCGGGGATCAAGTTACTAAACACAGCGTGATGAGAAAATGCTCGCACACAACACGCGGCTGTACATAGTGGCGCGATAAAATCAGCTGGGCAATTTTTCCGCGCGCGGAGATCACGTATTATATCTATATATGGGTCAAAATAATACTTTTTTACAAAACCGTGCGCACGTATGTCACCGATCTTGACGCGCTTATGGTATGTTATAGTACATGGTAAAAAGGTCCCAAAAAAAAATTTTTAGACCCCCTCCCCCCTCCTGCCCCCCACTTCCGGTATAAACGTCCATTTTCGATCTATATTTTTTCTGAGGACATGAAGCAAGTAAAAAATCTGAAAAAATTCATAAAAATACTTTTCCACAATCCAAACAACCTTGAATTTTTTCAGATTTTTTGAGTGCTTCAGGCCTTCAGATAAAATCATTGAAAATTTCAAAAATCGAGATACGGCGGTATGAGCCGATGTAGTACTCGGAAATTTTTTCAGTTATTTTTCGCATTAAAAAACATAACCTCAATTTTTTTCAGATTTTTTCAGATTACCTAACGCACCTTTTGAAGCCAAAAACCGATTTTTTTGACGAAAATAATTTTTTTAGGACAGTACGGAGCCTCGAAAAATCTGAAAAAAATTTTTTCTTGTTTTTTTCATCAAAATACGTAATCTCAAATTTTTTCAGATTTTTTAATTGAAGGCGATAGCTTCTAGGGCCGAAAAATGCTATTTTTAACAAAAAATGGTTCCTAGAACCCGATGGTTCCGGTGAAAAAATTTGAAAATATTTTTTTTGAATTCCTTGTCAAATTTTAATAAATTTTGACCGTTTCAAAAGTTCGATTGAAGCTTCCTAGCTCATTTTAGAGCAGGACAAAGATTAGTGCAAAATATCTGAAGACGTTTCTGAAGACATTAAGGAATGATAAAACTCGTTTGATGCTCTAAAATGAGCTAGGAAGCTTCAATCGAACTTTTGAAACGGTCAAAATTTATTAAAATTTGACAAGGAATTCAAAAAAAATATTTTCAAATTTTTTCACCGGAACCATCGGGTTCTAGGAACCATTTTTTGTTAAAAATAGCATTTTTCGGCCCTAGAAGCTATCGCCTTCAATTAAAAAATCTGAAAAAATTTGAGATTACGTATTTTGATGAAAAAAACAAGAAAAAATTTTTTTCAGATTTTTCGAGGCTCCGTACTGTCCTAAAAAAATTATTTTCGTCAAAAAAATCGGTTTTTGGCTTCAAAAGGTGCGTTAGGTAATCTGAAAAAATCTGAAAAAAATTGAGGTTATGTTTTTTAATGCGAAAAATAACTGAAAAAATTTCCGAGTACTACATCGGCTCATACCGCCGTATCTCGATTTTTGAAATTTTCAATGATTTTATCTGAAGGCCTGAAGCACTCAAAAAATCTGAAAAAATTCAAGGTTGTTTGGATTGTGGAAAAGTATTTTTATGAATTTTTTCAGATTTTTTACTTGCTTCATGTCCTCAGAAAAAATATAGATCGAAAATGGACGTTTATACCGGAAGTGGGGGGTAGGAGGGGGGAGGGGGTCTAAAAATTTTTTTTTGGGACCTTTTTACCATGTACTATAACATACCAAAAGCGCGTCAAGATCGGTGACATACGTGCGCACGGTTTTGTAAAAAAGTATTATTTTGACCCATATATATATATTTATTATTTACGGCAAGTGGATGGCTAATAATTTTTTCTCTCTTCCACAGAAACTGCAAACAATCGGCGAGGACTTCTGCGGCCTGGACGTCAACACGCCGCTCGGCGGCCGCGAGCCCATGACCGCCGTGCCGGTGCTCACGTTCGAAGATACATTGCTGACAGCTGTTGCCGCTACGTCGACCAGCGACTATACCGTCGTGTTCCTCGGTACCAGCAAGGGACGCCTCAAGAAGGTAAGAAGAGCTGCTTCTCTCTCTCTCTATGAAAATAAAGTTGACTGACCCCCGCTCGTTCTCGCTCGCTCGCGAGAGAGAGAAACTGGTTTTTCCCCGACGCGGTGCACACGAGACCGAGTCAGTTCGCTCGACTCGACTCGCGCTCGCGCGACATACAAAAGTTACATTGTGTCGTCCTCCTACTACCTTATACCACCACCACCATCAGGTATACATACGGGGCTAGCTGGTGAGAAAGCCTTTTAAAAGTATGTAACACAATGGACAAGCTTGACTTGCGCTCAAGTACGTACACACACACACACACACACACACACACACACAGAGCTCACACATATACACTACTATATATACGCGAAACGACTCTCGGCACGCCGGTAATGTATGTAAGTTTTGTCTCGGCGATGTTTGTTTGTTTGTACTTGTCGCGCGCATCCAACGACTCGCTCTCGCGCGCGGAGCTTCAACAATTTTTTCTCTCTCTCTCTCTCTTCCTCTTCAAGATACTGCTTGCTGCAGTGCGCACCGAGAGAGGCATTTTCTATGATTGTCGTGAATAATTGATATTGTTTCGCTTTTTTTCACTCGCACTCCGTGGTACTGCGAGCGAGCGCTGCGCCGAGTATACGTCTAAATATCGCTGGCTGCAGAGCGAAGGGCTTAGCCGCTGCCGCGCGCGCGTGTGTGTAGATGCGCGCGATCTTATACATAAGGAATATGCGAAACGTTTTGTAAAAGGCTAGGAAATCTCAGATTCGAGATCTTGATAAATCGCGTAGTTCCGTTTTTCCTTTTTCTTTTTTTTTACTACTACTACTACTACTACTACCACCACCACCACTACTAAGGGATTTATTGCTCGACTCTTCAAGATTTTCCTTTCGCGCAGAGAGTTAGAGCTACAGCGAGAGGAAGCTTCCTCTTTTCCTCATTCTAGGCGCTTCGCAACGGTGTGTATTTGATAAATCTCAAGTATTACGAGCTTTCTGAGTATGCACAGTAAAATTTCTCTCTCTCCCGCCAGGGTATAAGATACACCCAAAGCATTGTGTAAAATTTATTTTACGCTTATATCATATCTCCCCGTAAAGATACGAGCGAGAATTGAGCTTGTTCAGCTCTGATCACTTACTACCTGCGTACAAAAGCAAATATCCTTAATCATTGCGTAAATGTAGAGAAAAAAAAGTAGGAGACAAATATTAGTTTTATTCTTTACTCGACACTCGACGAAACATGCAGGAAGCTTGCAAAGCTCGCGTCACATTGAAAGTTTTTCAATAAATTTTCACTTAGAGCTAGTCGCTTTCGTTTCTGCGAAGCGTACGAGGCAAACGCGCGCACGAGGGGTGTAGTCCTTAATATAACAGAAGAGTCTACGTGCGGGCACACACAACTACTACCGCGTGTGCTGCCGGTTTCGACCGTTGTGTAGACGACGACGACGACGACGAAAGACCTTACTTTATATAATATAACGTGTATATAGCGCATGTATATATGCAAGCAAGCACACGCATAAAGTCGAGTGAGAGGAGCTTGAGTTTGCGCGGCGCAAGTTCGAGTATTGGCTGGGTGTATGGTACGAGCTAGCTGCTGTGTAGTATCGAGCTTATATATTCGACACTGCTTAGGAGAGAGATGTGTATTGAATCGATCGATAAGCAAGTGCTGCTGCTGCTACTGCTAGTGCGCGAGGATTAGGCGATTATTAATAATAATCGAAAGCTTAGGAGGCAACGAGGAGGGAAGCAGCAGAAGCAGCAGCGAGGAGAGGATTATACTCGCTCTGTGTGTGTATTGTACACAGCACAGCACACACAGTGAGTGTACGTGTATACCTACTGCAGTAGTATAACCACCCTATAGTGGTACGAGCACAAGTTTATAGTGGCAATATAATGTTTCTTGTGCGAGTGCGACTATACGCTGCAAAGCTTTCAACCGAACGAGCAGCAGCAACAGCAGCAGTGGTAGTAGCACTCGATGCATTAGAATATATTATATGAACGAGTGTGTGTGCTTTTTTTATTTTATTTCGCGCCGCACCTCTCGCGAAACAATCGTAATTTAGTGGGAGAAAGGACAATCGGCTTATAATATGAAAATTTTTACTCCTCCTGCGGATAGAGAGAAAGAGTTTTGCCTTACTACTCGAGCTTCTGCCGGGCTAAAGTTAATTAGGATCGTCGTTAGCGAGTTTCGTTTCTCTGTCTCTCTCTCTTGCAAGCGCGCGCGACTTCATAATCTCCTTTATTATTTTTTTTTATCAATTTTTCTTTTACCTTCGCGGCTTTTTTCCATGTACAATCCTCTCTTTCCTTTTTCTCTCTCTCTCTCTGCTTCTGTCTGTCTCTCTCTCTCTTGGCGCGCGATGCTTAATCGAATTTTCTCGCCCGCGCGAACGCATTGTTTTCCCGAAAACCAGCTCAGCGCTCGCCGCCGCCCTCTTTCTCTTTTTCGGTATTACATTAAGGCCCGTTGGATTAATCTTTTTGTGTTATATACTGCAGGCTCGTCGCTGTAGCGTCGTCGCGAGTTATTTGTTTGCCTTTCGAACGAATTAATTTTCGTGTGCCTGATTTTATACAGAGGGGTTGCAGAAAAACTCAATTGCAGAGAGCGGCGTGGCAGACGAGGAACAATTTTTCTCTTTTGGCACGTATATTTACAATAAGGATAAAAAAAAAGAAGAGGAAATATAATAACGCGCGCGCGTAACAATTATTTCGTGCGCCGCCCGATGAGTTTTTCCACCCTGAACGTTTTTGCTTGCAAGTTGTTGAACTTGCGCGCACGCTTTTTTGAGTTTTCATCCGAGCAGAGGTAAAATGTTGAGATTGCTGCAGCACGGTGAAGTTTTTCGAGAAATATATTTAAAAATAAGAACACCAATCGTGCACACATTTTACACATCAGGAATTTTTTTTCCTCTCCCTACCAGCAGCGCAGCGCCCGACAAAAAAATAACTACACGTACATTTGGAACTTGTTTTCTTTCTTTCTTCGCTTTCGCCTTACCTCTACCTACCTACCTGCCTGCCTGCTTGCCTGCACACACTGCCACGCGCATGAAAGGCTTTTTTCTTCTCGCAGACGAAATACAGGTGTGCGTCTGTATTTGTGTGTATATCGTTGTTATAGTAGTAGACGCAAGCTCACATGGCTGCACATGTGCCAACAACATCAGTTCCGTCATCATGTATGTTTCTTACTTACTTTTTTTTTCATTCCATACTTCTTCTTCTTCTTCTTCTTCTTTTGAAGTTGCACACGTCAAATCGCGATGGTGTGTGGCTTCGGCATCATCATCGTCGTTGCTGCCTGCCTGCGAGCGCAGAGATTTTCTCTGCGCTCAACGCGCGCGTGTCTGATTCGTAGCAGTTGCTCTTTGAGATCTGTGGCTGTGTGGCTGAATGTGTGGATACTGGCACACACACACAGCCACACTGACTATATTGCACACACCATCAGCAAGCATTTTATCCATATCTTTCGTTTAACTTCAACGTGTATCCTAAAAAAGGATGTGTACTTTCAATTTGTGCCTTTATTTACTCGAAATTTTCTTCCTCTCTGCCGCTGCTGCTGCTGCTGCTACTGCCACTACTGGTACATAAAGCTTGGGCAAAGAAAAAGCTCAGTGCTCTACCGCTTCCACCATCGCCTCGACGCAGCGCAGCAGCAGCTGCCTATCCCCTTGGCTGTATAGTGTTGGAAAAAACGAACGGTGTACAAACGGATCCCACGTTTGTTGTTCCTTCATATAATGCCAGAATGTGAGCTTGTGCCTCGCTGCTACGCTTCAATGCCTTAGAAATATATCTATACGTTGTTGTGGCAGAGCCGAGGAAAATGAGAAAATTTTACAGCGCCGCCAATACCGCGGCTATATTACGCGGCTGTACGCGCGCCGCACGATGGAATGTACACGATATAATATCATATTTATTTAAAGTAAACATTTTGCCAATGATCAAAGATTCTTCTTTGCTATTAATTAAAATAAAGCGTCTTGCTGCTGCTGCAGATTGCGCCGGGCGCCAGTTCAAATTAATTAAACGCTAAAGCAGCAGCAGCAGCTAGTACGACGCGCCGCGCGCGCAAAAGCTCCAGCTAGTTTCTCTCTGTCTTATACTTGCTGCTTTCTCTCTCCTTCTCTCTCTCGGGTTCGGTCGGCCGCGAAATCAAACTAGAATAAGACCGAGAGTGAGAAACTGTAACGTTTAAGACGCGCCGGGAAACTAACCTTCGCGTCTTTGGCCAAGGAAATTCCATTGGTATAACACACGTAATATACAAGGCGGCACACGATCCAGAACATGCAGTCAAAGCCAATAGATCGTTGCAACTACGTATCAAGGAAAACGCGCGTAGCCTTAATTTTGCTCGCAAGAAAATAAAGACGCGCTCGCAGACACATTCCGATTTATAATCCCTCGAGTTATGAGAAAATTTCAATGTTTATGCGCGCGCGAAACTTTAGCAGCTGCTCTCGAGCCTATAGCTGCGCGCAATATTTATAATGCCCTGGTACATATACGTATCGATGCGTTGGCGAGATATATTCAGTAGTTTTCGACGAGAGATAAGATGAGCGAGATAAGAAGGTCTGCTCTGCGCTGCTGCTGCTGCTGCTGCGGCGCGTTAAACTTCACAGAAAGAGAGAGAGAGAGAAGAGACGGAGTGCGAATATTTTTCCTGCTCGCGCCTCTCGCGCCGCGTAGAGTATGTATCGATGCGCGGAGGGATTGATTCCACATACAGGTACTGGATTTTATCGCGACTAGCTATACAGCCGCGTGAAGAGCATTTACGTATGAATTTTCCAAAGATTAATCAAACTTATTTTGACATTTTCTCGTTGCTCTCGTGTACGCGTTTTGAAATGCAACGAACAAAAAAAGATTGATGGAAAAAAAAGCACAAGGATAGCGCGTAGTATACCGCAAGATACATGCTGGAATCGACCGCGAGCAAAATCGCACAATCTATGG